ACCTCAATTATAAGATTTAGTTCCCTGACATTTTTTAATGAAGTGTTTTCAAAAGTAATATACACACATGCACATGCCCACAACCTACCCTATCACTGGCAACAAGGAGGAGAAATGCAAGAGTTCATGGTAGTTTATTCATAGCTCAACTACTTCTGCCTTTTCGAGCACAACAGCACTATCTAATACTATTCTGGTACTGCAGCCCCTTGTTTTTATGTAAAGACATTTTATTCAAGAGCTTGAAAATAATGAATCTATAAAGTAATGCTCCTTGTGAGAGTAACTCATTTTAGAATGTGTTGATTATTATGATTAATGGTGGGGCCCTGGCATTTTGTAGACTAATGGTAATATAGTAACACTTGGGTAGCACCTTTGGTGATTTTTCAAGGTGGTGTACTTGTTTGTTAATGCATCCTGTGTCCAGCCATTGCATTATGCCAGCGTTGGTGACAGTGCCACTTTGTCAGGCTGGAAAGATGGTCTCCGACTCAATAAGGAAACACTTTATCGAAGGGAATAAAAAATGGAAATGAGCTACTACCTGTGGGCTTAGATTAAATTGGCCTCAAGAATTTAGAAACAGTAGCTATTCTTGCTGTTCTTTCTAATGCAGGATTGTGGGCCTTTACATCTCATGCTATATTAATTCAACAAATATTTGGCACCTACTACGTGTAATGCAGTAGATGCTTATTCTGATTATCCTAAGATATACAAAGATGAATGCACTTCCATTTGTTCCTTCAAAAAGCTTGGAAAAAGAAATGATGTGTGTATGGAACTATCTGTAATAGAAGGAAGCACTGGTATGTACTGTTGGAGAGGTAGAGATAAAATGTGCCAAGATTTCAGAGGAGGGGGAAATTGCTGTTTTAACTGAAGAACAGGAGAGTATTCATAAAGGAAATGAAAGTGGAGCAGAACCTTGAGGAATGGATAAGTTTTGAACATATGGAACCAGGTTGAAGTAGTTCCAGAAAGAGAACTACACAAGCCAGCAACCAGAGAGGGAAATTCTGGGAGTCTGGCTAGAATTGCAGGATCCATGAAGGAGAGTAGTCGGTAGAAAGTTATGTTGGATCACAGTGCAATGGGTTATGTTCAAGACTAAGGATTTTCAGCTTTAGTCTACAGGCATGAGGGAGATGCTGAGGTTTTGTAAATATAGGAATACCTGTTCTTAACAATACATCAAGACAATTCATCTGGAGGCTATGCATATGTTGGACCAAAAAGGGCAGTAACCTGGGGTTCAGAGAACGGCTGAGAGCCATTGGTGGAGTCCTTGACAATGCATTAAGAGGGACAGCTGCCACTATGGCTGTGGAAATGGCCATGGCATGATGGATAGGAGAGGTAGCAGGGGTGTAGTATGGAATAGTGTTGACAGTTCATTGAACATAAGGGAAAAAGAGATGGAGAGGAGTCAAAGATTTTGATGTTTTAAGAAAAAAAAAAGAGTAGGTTTGATTGATAAGACAGAGTCCTGTCTGAGCCACCTTGAATTTGAAGTGCTGGCAGGAGTCAAAGACTAGACTCCCCAGAACACTTTGCAATGCACATCAGAAATTAAGATAAAAATGAAGCCAGAGCTAGAATTTTACTTATTTGGGAATAATATGAATAAGGATAATAGTTGAAGTATCTTTGTTTTAAGAGAAATTCACTGGCAGGAGTGAGAAGAGCATTATGCAGAAGAGAAGAGGACCAGGAACAGGTCCATAGAGAACACCTGCACTCAGAACGTAGAAGGAGAGAAGGAAATCTTCTCCTCTCTTCCCTCCCCACCCCCCCCAAAAAACCCTCAGAAGGAGGAGTCAGAGACAGCAGAGGTGAAGGGGTGGGGTTCTTGAGATCAGAAAGTCTGGACCAGTCTAGCAGAGGTCATTTGGCTTGCACACTGGAAATCTCACCTTCAAAAAGAGGAAAGATCACTTAATTATGGATCAAAATGTATGTTTCCAGAGCAGAGTTCTTTAAATCTTTCTAAAGAGTTTCTTGATATGACCTGCTCCCACCATTCACAGCCGTACGGCTCCTAATTTCCTGGCAGAATAGTGGCCCACTGCTCACTTCCCTGAGAAAAGCCCTCTCACAAACATATGGGTGTTCTTTCCAGGAGTCCTCTAGAAGCCTGAAGATACGTTAGTGGTTTTGACATCTCTTTCCCTCGGTAAGGAAACGCTGCAGAGCTATGGGCCTATCAAACACGGCTTCTTTCTGCATCTGGACCATCTGCTGCAGACCAGGGGTTCCTAACCTGAGATGAGGAAATATCCTGGCCAGTGAATGTATGTTCCATTATCCATGTGCCTGCATTTTCTGAAGAGATGATTTATCCTTCTCCTGATTTTTAAAAAGAATCTCTTTTCTTAAAAAGATAAGAACCACTGTAATAGATCATACACTCTTGCACAATGATGTGAGTTTCTTGAGGACAAGAGCCTGTCCTCATACATTTTGGTATCTTCATGGTACCTCTATCAATCTTGGCTGAATGAATGGCTAATAGTACTCCATTAGGTGGGCTAACAGGAATGATAAAATACTCATTTGGGCTCTATAGCCTCTTGCTTGACTTAGCAAATACACAAACCTAGGCAACACATTTTCTAATGATAATGTCTTTTATTAGTATAACTTGTACCTTAAAGTGAGTGCATCAAGCACATGCACTGTTTCATTTATTTCTTCAATAATTGTGCAGAGTAGGGACTAGTATCTTCATTTCACAAATGAGGAGGCAAAGACTGAGAGAATGCATATGACTTGCCAAAGGTCAACATCATATGTTAGCTATTATTATTATCTCATGGTGCATTCTTCTGTAAATAAAAATGCCTCTTGGACATAATAGATTTGGCCTTGTTTTCTGGAATGCTTATTGTTTGGCAATAGGTTGGTTTTTGTTTTATATGAATGAAACCTTTTTATTAGCCTAAAATTTGATACTCATGTTAAATGAAGTGGTTTTCAAATAGTTGTTTTATTGAATGACAGATACTACTATCATATAGTGACTTTAATTTCTTGATCTTATACTAGATAACATTAAATGAAAGTAGTGAGGCCCAGGTTTGTGTCTTTGCAGGGTAAAAGTTAAGATGGCATGTCAGACAGCAGTATAGGGTCATGATTAAAACTACGGGCTTTGAATCTGACTTAGATTTCAAAGTTCTACTAAATAGTATTACATCTTAAACATTAAATATTGGATATGTCTTAAATTCTCTCTCAACTTAGAAGAGTACCTGCTAAATTTCCATCTGCATCTAGAGAGAGAAATCTCATCTATTCTACTTCCACCTTTTCCTGGAGTTCTCTGGAGTAAAAAGGAAGAGACAATGCCGAGGCAGCCTCCCGTCCATGGCTGAAGACAGTAGACTCGCAGGGCAGCTGTGCCCTGGGCACCTGGCTTCTGTCTCGACGCTGCATGCATGACAGACGCTGTTCTGCAGCACTGCACTTGGTCCCCCACCAGCAGCGATCCTTTGCCCCCTCACAGCACGAGCTGTGAGAACCTATATTTACATACAGGCTGAGCCTCCCCTTCTTAAACTAGCAAGAATTTTTTAAACCTTAATACAGAAGCCAGGGGTGGGGAGGGCCTGGAACTTCTCAAACAAAAAACTGATACCTCATATTGAACCCTAAAACGTGAAGGACTTACAAAATGACCAGGCAGTTCTCTGAAATTGCCAAAGGACTGATAGGACATTCTGACTCAGAACTCTGTCGCAAACACACTGGTCTGAAGTTAAATGTGTATGCGCTCTGTTAACTGAGTAACGGGGACTGTTAATGCTCCACACTAATTAAAATATAATTTTCCAAATGTGTTTGCTCAATATGACTTTACATGTTGTTTTAATGATTTTTTTTTTAAAAAATCAAGAGCAGGTAAGCTACTTTATTGTTTGAATGGGCAGTTTGGCTTTCAGATGCCTGCAGTGACAGGCAAAGTGTGAGAGTACAAGGAAAGAGGGAATCCTGTCCCCAGTGTGTGCCAGTCACTGTGTGTTGTCCGTGGGGAGACAGGGCTTCTGCAACACTGGTGGGCTGAGAGGCGGAAACATTATTCAGAGATATCTGGGCACTGACACTGCTTTCTCTTCCCAAGAGAAATTGTTCAAGAACCAGATGAGCCTGATATTTAGAAATATTCATTTAAATAGAATCACCAGTTTGTTGGTATAAGCTGAAATGGTAACATAAGACTGAGCATGAAAGGACGATGTTAGGAGGATCCTCCCTGCCCAGAGAATGTCATTGGAAGCAGCAGCCTCATAGGGAAGCAATGTGGAAGGAAAACCACACAAGGATGTGCTGAATCTGCTTTTTCTCTGGGTTACCACTTCCTGTGGGTTTCTGCAGCCTGGGCTGGATAAACTGGGGCTCATGGCAGGTGTGTGTCTGATCTCTTCCTACCAGTAGGTAACCCAGCTGCATGGTGCATTAATTTTATAAATTGTAGTAAATGGATGAGGTGGCATTTTCAAATGCCTAACTTCGCTAGTTCATCTTAAAGCCCTATAAATATCTTTTGATTTTCATTATAGTTGTCCTGGACATAAGTACTTTAGTGTAAGCTAGAGTAAATTGTTTCAAAATCATGACCAATATATATATGGTGAGGCTATGAAAAATTGATAAACTAGCCTCACCAAACATGTTCTAAATTACTTGTATATGTATCTATACATCCTCCTAACCCCATGAAGGCGGGGACCAGGGCTATCTTGTTCCTGGGAGTATCTTCAGAACTTAGCGATGCTATTTGTTCATTTGACTATTAACTGAGTTTTAAAAAATAGGATCTCCCAACATATCCTTTAATGGGGCTTCTGTTATAGAGCTATTAACACTGTATATGTTATGTTTAACAAGTTTTGGTTTACGTTCTTGCCAAGAAATAATTCTTATTATTCTTTTTTACCTTTCACTCCATTTCTCTGAGATAAGTAATAATGAATATGTAAATTATTGTTTTCTAGGCTTGAAACTATTCCAATATGACCTTCCTTGGGCTCTTCTCTTTGCTGGTTCTGCAAAGCTTGGCTTTAGGGGCCACTGTCCCTGATGAAACCATTGTTGAGTTGTCAGTGAATATGTATAACCATCTTCGAGCCACTGGGGAAGATGAAAATATTCTTTTCTCTCCATTGAGTGTCACCCTTGCAATGGGAATGATGGAACTTGGGGCCCAAGGGTCTACACTGAGAGAAATCCGTCATTCAATGGGATATGACAGCCTGAAAAATGGTAAGTGGGCTTAAGTTTGATTTCTCAAGATGGTTTGACTTTAACTTTCAACTCAGTTATGTTGTGTTATGCCAGAGGCAGCAGTATTTACACAGGATAAGAAAGTGATCTCATTGAAGTGGTATGGCTAGAAGAAACATTAGGAAACCCAAGAAAGGTATTAATTCCTGGCTCCATCCCTGCCTAAACTAATCTAAGGAAATTATATATATTATTATTACTATTATTTAAATAAACCTCACTGTGAAAACCAAAGCAAATGGTTCTTGCTCTAATGGAGTTTCCAGTCTAGTGGGAGAGGCACATATTAATCAATTATCACATAAATAAATAAAAAATTAGAACTGTGATGACTGCAATTAGGAAAAGCAACATGATTTTCTAAGAATAACAGAAATTTTTGCTTAAAATCAACCGTATCTTCATTGTTTAAATAGCATCCAAGAATTTTTTTGAAATGTTGAATTATTATGAAAATTATATGTATTGAAGAAAATTTCTAGCCAAAAGGCATTTTGTAGTCACTTTAACATGATGTATGATTTCTATTTTAATGTTCTAATATACATGTGAATTAACTCATTAAAAGTTAAGAACTCAACAATGGATTTTCCTAGTTATAAGGTTAAAAAAAGTCCAGTGAAAGTAAAATTTAAAGGAATATTTTCATTTTTTGATTACATAATTAAACTTAATTCTCATTCCCGATAATTATAAAGTGACTAATTTAACAAAAGCAACCTAAGTACTTTGAAAGAAAACAACCAAAAAATCTCGATTTTATAGATTCTACCGAGATATCGATTAAAACAAAAAATAATATCTGTGGATAATACTAAGCCGCAAAAAGTTAATTTGAACACCTAAAAATAGCACAAATATGGACCCTCCTAACCATGTCAAAGTGGGGAATGAACCAGTGCTCTTTCCTCCAGCCACTGTTCTTTAATCTCCCTCGGTGTTTTGGTGCTCTTCCGCTCTCCTTGATCTTTCACTGTGTTTGTTCCACTAATAAACTTGTCCTTCGTCATTTTGCAGGTGAAGAATTTTCTTTCTTGAAGGATCTTTCTAACATGGTAACTGCTGAAGAGAGCCAATATGTGATGAAAATCGCCAATTCCCTCTTTGTGCAAAATGAACTTCACGTCAATGATGAGTTTTTGCACATGATGAAAAAATACTTCAATGCAGAAGTAGATCGTGTGGACTTCAGTCAAAATGTAGCTGTCGCCAACCATATCAATAAGTGGGTGGCGAATAACACAAATAGTATGTCATTTGGTTCCTTTTTTTCCTCTAACAGCTTAGCTTTAACTCTCTTTTACTGCTGAAATTATTTGTCCCTTCATTCCTTTTGCATTTTCCATGTTAGATAGCATTTACTTGAGTATCTAATAATTATTTTGTATAGATTACAGTCTTTTTAGAAGCACTGTTTATGAATACACATTTGAGAAAGAAGTTAAATCTTTTGACATGTATAGAATTTTGGCATTAATAAATTAATCTGAAATCTGTGCTCTCCAATTGATGGGTTTCCTCTGTATCATAATCTTTACTGCATGGAATTTTTCTTGAGCTGAGCATTTAATAAATTAGATACTAGCTAGAATGGCAGTTAGTGGCTCTCTTAATATAATTAAAATAGAATAAGAGAGAGTTAAAAATCAGAGTTTAAAGATGTTTGTTGGCTTTCAAACCACAGAATGATTGGTAATCAAAATATTTGCCTTGGAGTCTTTTAAAAAAGAGCAGCCCATTTTAAAGCCCAAATAAATGGAGAGGAATTAGAAAGAGATGCAATTATTTTAAATTTTATTTCTAATTCATGGTTTTTAAAACATAGTTAAGCTTTCCAAATGTTTTATATTTTGCCATTTTACCGTCAAAATAATTGAAATTAGAATCTAAAAAATGACACCAAATTGAAAGATAACTACGGCTGTTCATTAAATTAATTCATATTGTCAAAACTTGCAAAATAATGTTAATTTAATAAATTTTATGTTGGAACAACAACAAAAAAACCCCCAATCACATACCCTACGTTCTATAATCAGCACAATGCTGAGGCACCTTCTTAAGCACCTAAAAACGTGCTATGAGTAATAAAATGAGAGAATACCGAGCAAATTTTGGTCCTATCTTTTTCAACTCTGAGATTAAAACGTAGAATAAAAGAAATCTATGTTTGTTTGTTTTTAACATTCAAAGAATAAGTCGAGAATAATAATCCACCTGGAATAGATTGAATTATTAAAGCTGTTTGTTTCCAAACTCTTAATTTTTAAACACTTTTAGCAATCAACAAAGACCCAATGTCTTTCAAAATAGATTTGGAAAAGAATATTTCAGATGATAGAAAATAAGGCATCATGAGTTAAATTGACTTTCACTCATCTGTTTTCACCTAGTCAAAAGCAGTTGTTATATTTGTTAGAAAGATATCCAATATACATGGGGGAAAGTTTCAATTGGACGACATTTTAATCATGTACATTGTTCAAGAATAAACTTAGAAACATTTATTGGGTGCTTACTCTGTGTTAAGAATTTTATATGCATCATTGCAAGTGATGCAATATATCACTGCAATTGCAATATGCAAGTGGTGAAGCCTGAGATTCTGTTGTATGTGGTTCTGTAGTTTGCGCAAGTGTAAGCTGCTCCTAATACTATTTTAGGTGGTGTGAGTGTTTTAGATGACCTTAATCTGTAATTTTGTGTCTGTGTGTGTGACATTTTTCCTTTGAAACTACGATACTTCTAATTTTTATTGTAAATTTGGTAATGGTATACAGTTTTTCAGGATGATTCTATTAGATGATAATTTGATAACCTTTGGGCCCCTTTCACCTTCCAATTTAATATGAATTTCATCTGTTCATTTTTTCCTGAATAGGTCTGTTGAAAGATTTGGTATCCCCAAGGGATTTTGACGCTGTCACTCATCTGGCCCTCATCAATGCTGTCTATTTCAAGGGGAACTGGAAGTCACAGTTTAGACCCGAAAATACTAGAACGTTTTCCTTCACTAAAGATGATGAAAGTGAAGTCCAAATTCCAATGATGTATCAACAAGGAGAATTTTATTATGGTAAGACATTTTGGCTTTTATTTCTCTCTTCTTACAGTATATCAAAAAATTTCTAAGAAAGAACATGAAATATTCATTACTCAAGTTTCTTGTCAATCTAGTTTGGGCTACAATTCAGTTTCCTTGGCTTCATTTTCAAAGGCCTTTAATTAGATCCCGAGTGAATATTATATGCATTAACAGTTTTCCAATATGTTTCCCTAATTTGTATAGCTGATCACACCTGCAGAGTGGCTTTATCCAAATGAAAATATCTGACCTTGTGTAAGAACGTTCGGAGTTACTCCAAAAGTCACTGGCTTTGGGGTGGTTTTCAGTGAACCATATGTTCCGCTCAGCTCTTGATTTGGACTCTTCACTACTTTTTGAATTATAATTTTTCCTTTAAAATTTTGCTTTCAGACTTGTGTATGTATGGTCAGACATTATTCATTCATAGTTTCAATTATTGAGGGCCTATAATTTGTGATATAACTCAATATTGTTGGCGTTATTTTCAAAGATGTTTTGTTGGACTTTTCAGAAGTTTAGGATGTTACTCCTTCCTATACACTATATTGAACCACAATAATTTGTTGTCATAAACAGAAATGTAATTGTAAGCGAAGTATATGTTAGAACTAATAGTTTATTCTATTTAAAAATACATTGTAAAATTAAAAGATTATAATCACAGTTAATCAAATTAACAGTCAAAATAAGAAGGGAAAAATATCCATTTATTTAAGAACCAAAATGTTTAATGTGATGTCTAAAGTACCTATATCAGTTATAGGAAAATATTCACAAAAGAAGCATTACATTTTTTTTGAAAATGGGGGAAATTTTAAAGTAGTGGCAGGACCATTTGTTTTAAAGACTTTCTTATTTTTTTGTGAAAGCCTAGTCAATTTAGCTCAGTTCATAGAACACAAAGCCTAACTTTACCTAACTTACTTATTTACCTAATTTGGAGGTCTTAATCACCACAAATATACTAGGTAACTATTGCAGAATGCAATAGATTTCATTTTGGCTGCACTACCTTGGCCTCAAAACTTTTAGCTGTGGTAACAATGGAGTACCAGGTATTACGGATCAATTTTTCCCTTCTTAAAAATCAGGTGGAGGGGCCAGCCCCGTGGTGTAGCAGTTAAGTGTGCGCACTCCACTTCGGTGGCCCGGGGTTCGCAGGTTCGAATCCAGGTGCTCAATGATGTACCGCTTGTGAAGCCATGCTGTGGTGGCGTCCCATGTAAAGTGGAGGAAGATGGGCACGGATGTTAGCCCAGGGCCAATCTTCCTCAGCAAAAAGAGGAGGATTGGCATCAGATGTTACCTCAGGGCTAATCTTCCTCACAAAAAAAGAAAAAGAAAAAAAGAAATCAAGTGGATATTGATAAATGTGATTTACATCCAACTTGGATCCAGGGCTTTATTTTTCTAACCAGGACTTTTCATTGTTTTTAATGATATCCTTTAAATATATATTCATTTGAAGTATCTCATTTAAAAATACAAAGCAAGTCTAGAGAACATGTTATGACAAGTGTGAAATAATTCTGGGGATTCTAAAATAAAATAAATTCTGCAGGGCTGAGGATTTACTTGAATTTCAGGGCCTATTTTTAAATAAACCCTCTTTTTCTCGGATGCCTGAATTTCTTATATTCTAAACACTATTTTGGAAGAAAGTTATAACAAATTTAACCCTTTTATTTAAGCCTTGGTATGGGCCTTTTATGATCTTTCTTTTTTTTTCTTAGGAGAATTTAGTGATGGCTCCAATGAAGCTGGTGGTATCTACCAAGTCCTAGAAATACCGTATGAGGGAGATGAGATAAGTATGGTGTTGGTATTGTCCAGACAGGAAGTTCCACTGGCCACTCTGGAGCCATTGGTCAAAGCACAGCTGATTGAAGAATGGGCAAACTCGGTGAAGAAGCAGAAAGTGGAAGTGTACCTGCCCAGGTGAGAGGCTGCTGTGTGACTCCCTCCAATAGCACCTGGGGCGGGATATCAATGAAGGTCCTGGCCCAGAGCAACTCTTGTCACTGCTTTTGAATTTTAAGTCTTGCGCTACTCTCCTCCTCCTCCTCCTCCTCTCCTGCTCCTTCTCCTCCTTTTTTAAAAGTATTCTTTCATTTTCATGCAGTCCTGCCCAGAGATACAGGCTCACATTGATTCATTCAGTACTGTTTACCAGGACCTAGTTTCAGATATCAGTCAATATTCTTAGCTTTATTTTAGAAGATTTTTCAATAGATTGTCTCTGAATATCATTTGCATTGACAGTCTTCTGTATTTCGTTAATATTTAAAGTTGATTATAGCTGGAGAGAAAATAATCTTCAACATTACTGGAAGAAGTGCAAGCAAGTCACTGTGCTAAGTGCCAAGATGCAACCACAAATAAGCAAGAAGAAGCTTAACATTCTCCTTGTGGCTGCAAGAATAGAATCTATGCAGGGTCTTGATGTTCTGACTGCTATCCACTTCCTCAGCCCTAGCTCTGCCACTTACCGCATCAAACATTTTGTAGCATGTACTATCCATGTGCTTGTAGTTATGCCACAGACAAATATTTCTTGCCTCTGAGCCTTTATGTACGTTGTTGCATTGGCCTCAAATGCCCTCCTCACATTTCTTTGCCAGATATTGTTTACTTAGCCTTTGGGGTATAGCTCTGGCACCACCTCTCCTAGGAAGCCTTCCATAGACCACCTGATGGAGCAGGTGACCCTCACTTTCACCTCACTTGTGCTCCTCCCTGTTATGACAATACATTTATGTTACCACCCCACAATGAGATTACCTTTTGGTAGGTCTTGCTTTCCTTCTGCAAGTTCTTCTAGCATGCAGTCAGTTCTCTTCTCCATAACAGAGATACCATAATTGTTTGGAAAACCAAACCCAACTGAAGATATTTATTCTGTTCTTGAATACCTTAAAACTTAGTAGGGGAGCTAGACCAGTAAACACAAACAACAAGTTTATAAACATAATGTATAAATTCTAGGCTAGAAAACAAGACAAAAATAATGTATAAATTCTAGGCTAGAAAACAAGACAAAAATAAACACGATAAACATATGTGTGTGTGTATGTGGAAGTACAGCTCTAACATGCATTCCATAGTAAGAAAATTATACAAATATGATTAATTATAATCATTAATTATTAATAATTAATTAATGAACACTGAAAGGTAATAAGACATTAGTATTAAAACTGAATTACTAAAAACTCTAACTCATTCATGTTCATTCTAATTTTGGGAATTGTCATTTAAAAGTTACGTCTTCTATAAATGCTTATTTTTCCCAAAACTTAGCTGATGTTTGCTTATGTTAATGAAGGAGATCTATTTGGCACTGTAGACATTTTGGCTAGAAGTATATTTATACATTTTGTTAGTGTTATATATTCATAATATGTAACCACACATAATATACAGCCATACATTTCTTAGTCTACATGTAAAAATTAAGGTAATCATAACCCAAATGGTTTACTTTTCTTCTTTTTGGCTAAGATATTTAGCTTGCATAATTTTCCGTGACAATACATTTATGTAGAAAGATTCCACCATAAGTCTATTCTCAAGGAGAGGTAGCCGATGAATATCTAACAAATAAAGCCAAGTTTTTTTTGTGTATGATAATTGACATCTACATACTTAATATATAAACAGTGTATTTTAACTCTAAAAGAACAATTTACTTTTAAACATTAAATTTAAATAACTATCTACATCAGATGTAAAAATCTCATCTAGTGACCTTTTATCATTGATTTTGAATTTTTTTTTGCATTTTATAAGGAATTCCTTTTGATAATATGAGAAATTCAGTACAGTATTAAAGCTTCCCTTATTAAATTCTGTGAATTAAGTGCAGCATCTCCAAATGCTTCAATTCTATGAGGATGCAGTTGTTTAGGAGTATTTTAACAGAATTCTAAATGAATATTTAATAAACATCACATATTCTAATTCAACCGTATTCACTAGAAAATGTGGCCTCCAGGTCCTGTCCTGGAATTGAACGTGGCAGCAGAAGAAAATTAAATTTTCATTTCCTAAGAGATACTCTTCAATTATGAAATAGTTTAGCTTGCTTGCTCAATATTAATGCCTGTTACTAAACTAGGCACAGTTAATGACCGTGTATCCATTTCTGTAAGAGTTCTATGAACTCTCCCTCTGCATAGAGCGGGAGACTAATAGCTAGATAAGAAAAATTTAGTTTCCCTTTTTAAGAGATTGACTGTTTTCACATACTTGTGTGTCAGTAATCAATGGAAAACTATCCTCTCCCTCCATTTTACAGCATTAGGATCCACTAAATGCTCAGTGAGGGTAATGGTTTATGTGACCCAATCTTAGAAAGGTAAACATTTTCTAATAGCTGTGCTCTAGGTTTACACAAATGTCTGTCTTAAATGGTTTGAATAGTTTGCTTCATATGGAGATGTTACTCTGAAAATGCAACTTTGCATTTCTGTGATTTGACCACATTCTTGTCCTGCTTGACAGGTCCTTCTACTTTCTGTTATACCAGATTTTATACAAATAGCTTTAAGATGCTTCCTTGAGAGGTATAGGGCATTTGGGGTGGGGAGAAGGGGCAATTACCTTTGTATTTTTGTTGTTTTTTCCCCTGAACAATAAATCCTACAGGAATCAGATGCTGAATTAAAATTGCATTTTTATCCAAAATACAAGAATCTGTTCAGGAGATGGTAAGACTGCTAGACCTATGTGTTATCACCAATCCAGTGAAATACCACAAGGTTTATGCACAGTCATATATCTCTAAGACTTAAATGAGATTGCTAGATATTCTTCCAATTTATTCATGGCAGCAAAAATAGTTTGGCTAATAGGTAAAAAAAAAAAAAAAAAAAAAAAAAATATATATATATATATATATATATAAAGCACTTTAGAATAATGCTTGGCAGAGAGTAAGCATCGTATAATTAATTTTTCTTTATTATTACTGTTATTGTTTACTTTTCAGTGTACATTTTAAGTCCTAATATTTATCTAGTGTTAATCTATGGGTAGCTTTATATATAGTTTTCTCTAATTAGGACTTTTTTTGAACTTGGTTCTAATGATGGTTCTCTTCATTATATATTCTTGCTTTTCAGTCTTTACTGATATAGCTTAGGTATAAGAAGATTTCTCTAAAATCAAATATCTTCATACTCGGAATGAGGATTTACCTGACCATAGTATCTTTCCACTCTGACTTTTTGTTTTTTTTTGGTCAGGAAGATCGGCCCTGAGCTAACATCCGATGCCAATCCTCCTCTTTTTGGCTGAGGAAGATTGGGCCTGGGCTAACATTTGTGCCCATCTTCCTCTACTTTATATGGGACGCTGCCACAGCATGGCTTGACAAGCGGTGCCTCGGTGTGCACCCGGGATCCGGGCCTGCAAACCCCAGGCCAACACAGCAGAGTGCACGCACTTAACCGCTGCACCACCACCCCGGCCCCTTTCCACTGAGACTTTTGTAGTCTCAGATTTGTCATTTGTGATCAGAGTGCTAGAAATCAAAGGATATAAAGTGGTTCTCTATTTTGTAACCAGAAACCATCCTGCTATTTAGAAATGATTGTCGGGGCCAGCCGGGTGGCACAAGTGGTTAAGTGCCCGTGCTCCGCTGTGGCGGCCCAGGGTTCCCTGGTTCTCATCCCGGGCACGCACTGACACACTGCTTGTAGAGCCATGCAGTGGCGGCGTCCCATATAAAGTAGAGGAAGATGGGCATAAATATTAGCCCAGGGCCACTCTTCCTCAGCAAAAAGAGGAGGATTGGCAGATGTTACCTCAGGGCCGATCTTCCTCACAAAAGAAAAAAAAAAAGAAATGATTGTCTATTAATAAAGCACTTCAGTTTCATGTTTGTAAAAGAAAACCAATACATAAACCATCTGATTTTGTTCTTTAAAATGGGTGCTTTTTATTATTATTATTATTATTTTATTATTATTCTACAAAGGGTTTGATTAGTTCCTTAATTGTTTATAAATTTTATAAATCTCCTTATGTGTAATATTTATTTGCTCTTTTCTAACACTTGCTCCACACAGCTACTCAGTCTCCAAGGCTTCTGCCCTCTACATACCTCTTCACCTTATTCAGATAGAAAGTTGCAAATGCGTGATTACATTGCATGCCTGTCTTAAAACAGGCATGCCTTTGGGTTTTAAAAAAGCAGTGTTGTGGCTTTTTATTTTTAAATTCAGCAGGTGAAATGTAAAGTCTGCCTGTAGTTTGTTTGTTTTTTAAATAAGCCATTGTTAGAATTATAATGAGTAGTGGCAGGGGCTTTGCAGTCAGAAAGACCTTAGCTCACACCCTCATTCTGTTACCTACTAGCTCGGTGATTAGGGCAAGTTCCTGAGCTTTTTTGAACTGCAGTTTGTTTTTCTGTGGAATAGGGATAACAGTACCTGCCTCATAGGAGTGTGTGAGATTAGCATAGGGATGATTAAATGAGATACTATACATAAAAGGATTTGCATTGTGCCTGGGACATAGTAAGCACTCAGTATGTGGGAGATGATAATGATGATGTACATTAGTATTAGCCTATGTTAAGAGGAAAGAGATAGTAAATGGATAATAGCTATCTTTCAATAATTTGAAAAGGAAAAAAGATGAGGAATGGATAAGTGGAAATTGTTTACATCCTGTCTTCCACTTGGAACAAACACTCACAGACACCTAGAATTTATTTCACTTCAACTTATGTATTTTGTCCTATGCCAGACACTACAAATATTAAAATGAAAAAGACACTAGATTTGACTGATTTCCAGTTAAAGTAGCAGAGATTAATCCAGCTGTTTAGTCAGATTACTCCACCAACTAAAATGCAAATATACAATGCCTTAACATCTGTAATAATGTGAATGTTATACATAACTGCAAGATAATAAGTACTATTAACAGTATTTGCCTCCTACATGCCAGCACCATCTAAGACTTTTAGAAACCTTATTCAATCCCCTCAACAATACAATGAAGTAAGTGCTATTATTGCCATTTTCCACATGCCAAATCTGAGGCTCAGAAATTAAGAAACTTGCCCAAATTTAATCTGGCTACATTACCATCCTCACCTGAAGAGCCAGCCTTGGAAGTGTGAAACCAACCAAGTTCCTTTTAAGAAGCAAACAGAATCCCCTGCTGTTGCCCTCCTTCACTTGCCTAGTTTAGGTGGATCAGCACACACACCACCACCGGGATCCACATCCCTGCTCTGCCTCTCGTTAGCTGTGCGACCCGGGTCAAGTTATGTCATCTTTCTGCCCCTAGTTTCTTCCTTTATTAACTGGGCTAATAACAATACCTACCTCAAAAGGCTGTGGTGATATTTAAATTAATCTGTTTTTTATAGGAACAGTTCCTGATATACAGTAAGCTCCATATAAGTGATCAAAAAATAAATAATAATAATAAAGCACACACACACAAACACCTTAATCAAGCTGTCAAATGTATTCTCTGAGACATTCCATATTTTCCTATTCATCTCCCTTTCAACTTTCACAATCAATATCTGCTTTTTGTAGAAAACAAAATAAACAATGGTAAGTCCAAGTTCAAGTGTTGGATATAGATAAAATTCACTAAGTTTAATATATATGCTACACATTTCCTCGTCTGTTGGTCATATTTTTCCGTAAACATGGACCTGCTAAAACTGTTCTCCCCTGATCATTCCTCTTGGTGTCTGAGTCTTGTTTATAGCAATCATTCCCTTGTCATTCTTCCTAAAACCAGACAATAGGAAGGATGCTGATGTAACATTTAGTGACTATCACAGACAGCTCTTTTAAGGACACAGCCCATTGCCTAAAAAGTTATATTTATGATCTGTATTGATCAAGAGGCAACATCTTAGAAAAAAAGGAAACATTTAGTTCTAACCAGTTGTTTTCACATTTTATAAAAAAGTAGTAAAAGCCTTTGCTTTAAAAAAATGCGTCTGTTTGTTAATGCAGCCACATGTGGTCCAGATCTTTCATGAGAAAGGTGGGTGATACAGTCCATTGGTTTGGGAGAGATTTCATTTTAGGAGCAATCTGGCTTTCTGTGGAAAACTTTTTTTAAATTAATATTCTGTTTGTGGCTACTGTACTTATTTTCAATTAAGTTTTTGAATAATGTTTTATTTCTTCTTACAAAAGTAATACACATTTATGTACAATAATTCATAAAGTCCATTAGAACAAAAAATAAAGATTTTATTCTTTGTTTAAAAAAACTCTACAATAATTGTAAAAGTGCATAGTTTTTAAGATGTAATATTTAACGTACTTTCATTGATTAGCAGTTTTTCCCTGATGCTACCACGAGAACAGGCTTATGTCCTAGAGATTAATATAACCATGAAGATATATATTTTATAATGTGATAGATTTTATGTTTTCTTTCTCTGAGTTGTATGGAGTTGAAGTGTTATACAGCAAAACTTGGCTCTTATGTAACCCTTTCCATAAGGTGAGAAGTTGATCAATATACTAAGAAGAGAATAAAATACCTTGGATAAATGTATGATTCATCATTACTAGCTTAAAAAATCAAAAATATTACTTAACTAGTTCAAAGGATTTTGAAAGCTACTCATTTACAAGTTTTACATAGTCAATGGTAATGTTTCTTGATCTCAAAACTCATTTATTCCACTATATATTACGGTTTTGTCTCCATATCATATATTTTTCCTTCTTAATAATTTAATACTATTCTGATATGTTATTCTCTTTGACGCCCCTTCTTTTTACAAGCACAATCAAATACTACTTGCAGTCAAAAGCCAGTTTTAGCATAATTTCTCCTCTATAAAACAGGCTTTTAAAATCAACATATCTAATATTTTACTCTCGTCCCGGGTAACAGGATGCTGGAACTAAATACTTTTCCCCTATGTGCTTTCCAGGTTCACAGTGGAACAGGAAATTGATTTAAAAGATGTTTTGAAGGCTCTTGGAATAACTGAAGTTTTCATCAAAAATGCAAATTTGACAGCCTTGTCTGGTAGGAAATAAACACCAATTTAAAAAATATTATCCCATAAACGTTTTTTAAAATAATGATGTTGAATCCTCTATTTACCATGGAGTTCTGAGGTAAAATATAGTTATCACTTGCCAGATAAATATAACAAATGTATTTAACTTCTACGAGCAAAACTATAAATACAGTCATAACATTAAGTTTATGTTATTCTGGTCCATGTCTTATCTTCAATAGTATATTATATTCTCCAGAAGACCTGTCTTATACATCTTGGAATTCCCCATCTCATCTGACACAATGCCTTGTAGAGTAGATAATCAATAAATGTGTTGAGTGAATATCTCAATATGTCCCATTATAATAAATCATATAGGAAAGAGAGAAGGAAGAGAGGATAAACGAGTGCCTGCTGTGAGAACTAGATGCTTTTTCAAAGGATACCTAGTGAGACGATGTAAATATTATCCTAACTCTTCAATAAGAAAGGTTGGTTTTACAGAAGTAGCTTCAAAATATTCCTGGCATGTTGGGTGTTGAGTAATTTATTTTAAATATTCCAAGAAAAAAATCCAGTTGCATTATTTGATTCAGATGCCCTAATTTGTTCAGGGTAAAAATCATAACTTGGGACTGTACAACCTTTTGGAAATATTTTTAAACAGCTAATCCCAAGGCATTTATTATTGAAATAAAGTACCTGTGAGTTTAAGACTTAGCTTATGTGATGATTATTTTGTATCATTTCTATAGAACATGAAAAATAAAACAGTCTGTTTTCTGATGAGATAAAGGCAAATATAGATCAAGATAAAAGAAACTCAACGTGTAAGTCCTCTTTATACGCAATGTATTGAACCCAATTCTGCAACTAGAGAGAGCTGAGGTGATAGAAGATTCCTTAGCAGTTCATGTGTTACAGGAGAGAACGTAGTTTTCCTCTCCTGAAGTAAGAGCCTATAGGAAATCAAGCTGACTGAATAATAGCTTCTAAACCTGGAGTGTGAGGGCCCATGAAGTGAATTCAGGGAAGTGATGCCTCCACCCTTAAAATTGCATATAGATATGTGTGTCTGTGCGCGCACGCGCGCGCGCGCGCGCACGCACGCATGCACAGGAGAGAAAAAGAGACAGAGACAGGGTGGAGATAGGAGATTCATAGTTTTCAAGAAATTCTCAAGGAGTCTACAATCAAGAAAAGCCTTGTCTTCCCAGATTTAGGAGTGGGCAGATAGTTTTCTAATCAACAACTCAGCTTCTAGCAATGAGATGATACCGATGTATTTGATACTGCAAGCTCTATCCTTCGTTTAGAGAGCTTACATCCCAAAACACTGATAGAGCTTTTCTAAATGTCTGCTATATAAATGTTCCTGTCCACACAAGAGAATGAATTTTCCCTGGGCAAAGGTTTTCATGGCTCACATCCAAGCTCCTAGGGCTCTGAACTCTTCGGTGGGACTGTCAAGAAGGTAGGACTGGTGCACGTTCAAAAGGTAATGGATACATTTGTACTTGAGTCAGAAATATATTCGTGGCTCAAGCATAAAATAATTTAAAGTTCTTATACTCCCTTCCTTAGGAATGGAGAGAATCTACCTGCCATACTGGCCAAATTCCAACTGGATAATTACATTCTGCCTTCCTACCACGGCTCTATTTTCAGTTTGATTTGAGATTCCTCACTGTCTCACCCAAACATCTAGGCAGTTATTTCACACACATAGAATATTGGCTGCTTTTCAGTCCTGAGGGAACAGCACTGCAGTGGCAAATCAATTATTGTGGTCAGTGTAGCTTAAAATTTTTGACATATCTGGAAGTTTTATAAGGTAATATTTAATTGCCTTTACTATGTACAGAGACAATAGAGCATCAATATACATTATGAATGCAGATGGTTTGAAGATTTGAAATAACACTAGGCTCTTTCAGAGTTCATATAGTCTGTGCGTGGAGTCTCTTCGTTTGATCAAACCTCCATCAGAATTGAATCCTTCTCAGCACCCTGCTCACAGCTGCATTTGCAGTATCCGGCACAGGGCTGACACGTAGTTGGCACACGGTAGATGATACTAAAGAATAAAACAAGAGAGGGAAGGAGAGAAGAGGTTTCTTCGGGGCCACCTTATACATTACATTTATTGGAACATTTAACTCCTTAAAACATCAGTAAGAAATCCAGGATTGGCCATCCTCAAACACTACCCAGCTCAAGTCTTTAGGATAACTCTATGAAAGATGTAAGGCCAGCCTCTCAAGTTTTCAGTGATTGATTCTTAAATTCCTAGTTTTGCCAGTCTTGGTAGCCCCAGTATGCCAGCCACCCCAGCCAATACATCCTTCATTCTCTCTCTTTCTCTCTCTCCCTCACACACACACACACACACACACACACACTCAAACATACACATTAATATATGAATCCTTCATTCAAAAACTATCTGGTGACACCGCTATAAAACTTGCCTCTCTGTTTCCTCTAAATTTGGTAGCATTTATTCCCTGCATCATTTATTTGGGCACCATACGCTCTGCCTCACATGGTTGGTATCCTTTTTACGTCTAGTGTTTTGTCTCTCCGAATAACGTGAAAACCTTGATGACTGAAGTGTCTATGACACTTAGTAACCCCCACAAGTAGCCAGGAAAATTATTAGCATGTTTTTGGTTATTTCTTCCTTCTTTAATGAGACTTTCATGGTGTTTAAGATATGCAACATTAATTATATTCAATGCCATGTCTATTCCTTTCATTTAACAACTCTCTGTGAGGCAGATAGTGCAAGCAAAGTACTATGTCGTAAAAATGAAGAAATGCTTAAGATATCATACCTGCTTTGATGAAGCTTAAGGACTTGTGGAGAAAAAGACAAACAGCTGGATTTAATAAAAGGAAGAGTGGTAGAAATCTTTTATTGCAGCAGTATTCTCAACTAGGACAATTTGCCCTCCAGGCGACATTTGGCAATTGCTGGAGACCTTTTTGGTTGTCACAACTGAGGAGTGCTACTGGCATCTAGTGGGTAGAGGTCAGGGATGCTTCTGCATCCCTGTGATCTACACTGCACAGCACAGCCCCCCTCAACAAAGAATTATCCAGCCCAAAATGTCAATTGTGATGAGTTGAGAAACCCTGTACTAGAGAAAGCATCGTGGAAGCAGAGAGGGGAAAAAAATCAATGGGTAGATTGGGAGCATATTGGGTCAAAAGATGGAGAAGGAGAATATAGGTATGTAGTTTAGCTTTTAAATGCATAGAACATTTTTGAACATCTTAGAAAATGATAGCAGCGGTTACCTCTAGAATAGAGGACAGAGGCTCTTAGATAAGAGAGGAGTTTGTGTTGCATATACTGCTGTGTACTGTTTGGAATTTTACCTTGTGTATGTAATACGTTTTCAATTAAAATTCTTACTTAGAAACTGGGAAAATCTGTTAAAAATAACACTAGTAGTAGAATTCACAAATTCAAAAAGCACCCAGAAAACAATTCAGTACTGTTGTGGCTACTTTCTTAAATTATGTAATGAAATTTTTATCTTTCTTCAAAAATAGCAAATATGATTTAGCAGTGGACAAAAAAAAGAAAACTCTGCTTCATGTTCTCTTGTTTCTGGAAAAACTGAGTGACTTGAGAGTCCTTTGCTAGACCTCTTGAATCCACTCTTTCATTTTCTGTTCATGGCATCCACCTTCATTTCAGACTCTCATTACTGCTGCCCTAGACTATTTCAATAGCCTCCTAGACAGTTTCCAGTCTCTCTTCCATCCAGTCTTATCTACCACTGCCAAGATTAATTGCCTTAAAACTCACTCTCAGATCATTCCAGTTCCTGTTCAAAGCCCCCCTTCAGTCTGCTGTGCACCGTCCACTACTCAGCAGGGCATTGAGACCTCAGCTCGCTCCAGCCTTAACTCTGCCTGATTCCTTATACACAGTTTGTGCTCCAGCCAAACTGGACACTTGCTCTGCACCTCACATCCCCCCAGCTCCCAATCTTTATGAAATCTCTCCCACCCAAAATACGTCTTGACTGAGCCTCGGCTCAAATATCCCCAACTTCATCAAGCCACCATGATTACACCAACCAGAAGTAATCACTCTTTCTTAAATTCTACAATATTCTGTACTTTTCCTTATGCCACATATTACATCTGATCTCATATTATTATTTATGCATTGGATATCCCCTGCCAGAATTCAAACGTCCCAAAGATTGATCCCTATGTGTATTTAGGAAGCACCCAGAACTGCACTTTCTGCTTAGTACTCACTGGATGAAGGAATGAATAAGATGAGATGCTCTGTACTTATTGTGGGGGGTTTTTTTTTTATTTCAATTAGATGTCCATCGCTTTTGATGCTAAATTCCATTAACATAAAACATAGTGAAGACTTATACAAGAAACGTGGAATCTAGAGTGCTGAGAGGCATTTTCTTCTCCGGCTCGATTTAAAATGCTCATCTAGTTGCAGCGAGGATCCTGTTAGAGAGTAAGGCTATTTTTGTAATGGAAATGAATGACTGTCAGCATTTGGGTTAATAGATAATCCTCTTGGAAAGTGTAGGGGGAAAGAGAAAGAGAGTACTAAATCCTTCAGCATAAAGTACAAGCTTTAATAAAGGAACCAATAAAATAAAGGAATTAAGAACACAGCAAAAGCCATATTCAGGTCAGACTCAAGTGCTTAGATTTCTGCTAGACTGACTCTTACATCCTGCCCTTGTTTGTTCTCCTTCTCCTCCTACCTGTAAGCCAGGGGGCTGTATTTCTCCTCCAGAGCCATAATTCCAGTTCTCCTCCTACGTTCTTGCCTGGACCACTGCAACAGCTAACAAACGTGATCTTCCTGCCCCTAGCTCTTTGCTCATCCGATCCACCCTTTACAGCTGCTGCCACAGATATCTTCTAAAATCAAAGCAGCCATGCCCTGTTACTCTCTAGCAAGGTCCAGGCTCTCTAGCATCATGGTCCAAGCTCTTAAAATCAGGCGCATCCCCTGCCACTCCCCACC